AAATAAAGAAGTCCAGTTTTTTCATTTTTCTCTTCTCGCCCTCGCAAACACACACACGCACGCATTCAGTTCCCCAAAAACCCGCAGCCTTCCTGTCTCCAGTTAACATAAAGGTAAAGCGCTCAGGGCGCGCGCGATGGTGATTCCAATTTGCCAGAACCCTCAAGTCAAATCGAAGAGAAAACGAAATAAATTGCTTCTTAACTTTCAATCATGTCAATATGGGCAAGAAGAGGCTCAGCAAAGTCAAAGGTGCGCAGCAAATTCTTTGTGGATGTCCAGAAGAATGGGGTCTGTCGCATGGCCTGTTCGCACGCAGGTTCAGAGAGGGTCGCTGAGAGAACGTAAATCATATTTTTTACAGTTTCTTGAATGGCCTCGCGCAGAACGATTTCGTCCTCTGTCGCACCGCTTACACGACTCATCCACATCGCGTCCTGCGCAGCAGACGGCACGGTATTGGAGGCACTCTCTGTCGGGGCGGTGTAAAGGGCATAAAGGGTGCCCAGGATACGTTGCCACAGTTCCTGTAACACCTCTGGCGTCTCTCCAAGGGACTTCACGTGGTGTAGAAATACTTTGGGTAGTAAACCAACAACACGGCACTTCAAATCAATAGTCACCTGTTGATTTCTCTCCTTCACAGAACCGGATGGGCCCGCCGAACCCCCCATCCCGGACTTTGTTGTCGGCTGTGGGGCAAATGGGCTTAAGAGACTCGTTACAAACGTTTGGCCTGGGGCCGGGCTCACGGCGGCATCAGCAGTTGTCTGGCCACTCGGCGACAGTGCAGTTGCCGCGGCAGAGGAGGATGGGGCACAAATTTGTTCAGTAAGTGGAAAAACAACATCTTCGTAGAGCATAGAAACGGCAGTGACGGGCAGTTGATCAATGTCCGGGTCTAGCAAGCAACGCTGTAGGCATAGGAGCGCCTCACTTCTATCGCGGTACTGGCGCGAAGACACAACCAAGGCACAGAGACCACGGAGTGAGGCAATCCACACACGCCGCCACTCCGCGTCCTCATTTGTGGTGCCTCTTGAACCGTAAAGAGCAACGAGGCGACGACAGGCGATGGTAAGATTATCCGCAAAACTTTCCAAATTCTCATCCTGAGTCAGCTCACTTGAATGTATTCCAGCTCGGATGCCTACCTCACATTCACTATTTGACTCAAGCGCAGAGGTTACCAAGGCATTTACAACATCCTCGCCATCTTGCAGGATGTTATAGCGCTCCTTTTTCACCATCATCGATAGCGCTTTCCGCGTTTGCTGCCGCACGAGAGGATGACCACACTTAGTTGCCAGTGTACATAGTGCATCCAATAACGTCACCAGTAGTGAATGGGCTGGTACGTGCGGTAGATATTGCGGCTCAGTGAGTAACTCTAGCAAGGCAGCGGAGAGTAGTGGGGCCACCACAGCCGTAAAAACCCTGGAGGGGGCAGCGGTAAGTAGGCACAGAATTCGTTGTCCTGCCTCCTGCTGCAGTTCATTACCTATAAAATGCTTTACAGCCCTAAGCAAGGCATTTACCACGCGGGTTGCCAGCGATACCCAATACTCGTAGGCCTCAGCGGGGATCGGTTGGCCAAGCTCGGTCATTTGAAACTCCTCAATGGTGCCACGAGCCTTGCTACCGTGGTTGTTGCTGCTGCTACTACAATTATTGCTCTTCTTGCCGCTGAATGCGTGTGTGGTGTTAGGCTGGTCGAGAGCGGCAAATATGCTTGCCGTGACTTGCTGACACAACTTGAGGTAGCGCTCTAGCACAGCGTTATCCCGTGAACGGCGCATGACGACTTCCGTGATGAGAATCACCGTATACGAGGCCGCATAACTGTCGGCCGCACCTTTGCCCTTCATTGCTGCCTCCTCGCACAAGGCACGAAGGAGCTGATGGTGGGGTTTCTCTTCAAGCGCGTCAATCATGCGGAGAAATTCCTCAATGTCAGGAAACCGCACCTTGACCCGTTCCATCGCCCGCTGTTCCTCGCACTCCTGCGCCTTGAGGCGCTCGGGCGAAACGGAGGAGCCCCACAACGCCGCAAACCAGCCACCCTCGGAGGTCGTACGCTTAACGCCAGCCACGACTAGCCCGGGATTATTGCGCAGCTCCTCCCACAGCTCGGTGCCTCCGGCCGCGGAGGGCGTTGAAGGGGCCAGGTTCGGTTCCCGCGCGAAAATACCCAGCAAAAAGGAGTTAGCAAAAAAGTGACCCAACTCTCCCCAGGCGTCCATTACCAGCGGCAGACACTCACGAAGGACGCAGAAGAGTTTTTCTAAGCAACGCAACGAGAAACGTCCGTTCCCAAGACGAACCAATGAACCATGTGCATCTTGCTTGTCAAGCGGGAGCTGCGAGAGCAGGACCAATATGATATGGTCTACGGCAGACACGGTGCCAAAGTGTTTAGCGGTCTTGGCTAGCAAGCATAGACCACCAAGTGCAAGATTGTGTGCCTCTTCAGTCGCAGTTAAAAAGGAATCACTCTTGTCACCGTTGTCCTCCGCATCTATCTCCTCCACAATATCGTGGCCGGGGCAGAGGCTACAGGTATAAATGGTGTTCGCAAATGCCGTGAGAGCATGCCTCCAGAACGCGGAAAAGACAAACGGATGCAAGGCCTGGGCAACAGCTTGATCGCTGGAAGTTGACGTTGTCACCTGCATCGAGCACCGCAATATGGCATCGTTGGAGATCACCTCTTCAGAAAGGGCCAGTTCTCGCATTTCCAGCGCCCAGGTGACGTCGTTTGTAAAACCCACATCAATCATTTCTGCCATAATAATTGGGTGGGCCTTCACATCATCGTATAATTGATCCAGGTACTCATCTGGAAGGCAATTACCTCCATCACTGTCACGATGCACACGTCGAAAGTCTGCCCGCTGCATTGGTTTTACCATCTTGCCGGAGTGTTGGTCGGTGTTCAACATAATCAATGAAAAGGCGAGGATAAAAGGACCCTGTTCACTACAGAACGGGTTAATTTCCTTCGCCGCATCAGAGTTAGATTTGAGCCACATTTTCGCAAACGCCTCCATGACGCGATCAATCTTCTGCGCCTCCCCCGGCATGCACATATGATAGGCTGTCTCACGAATGCAGTGCAAGAGAGACTTGTTGCGGTAATCGAACTCTTGTAGGAACCCTTTCAGTTGTTCCTCATAAAAGCGCACAGTTCCTGCCCGCAAATGATCGTTTTCCCGCTCGGCCTCCCAGGCGGCAAGGGCCGCAGCGCCTTCCTCCGTTCCGTCAGGCGTCGGCGGGGGCGGCTCCCTGCCAAGCTCACCGAGGTAGTCCCCCAAGACACGCTTGTCCAGCATATCACTAAGGTAAAAAAGGCAGGCACCCACCTCACGCCCACCAGCGGGTTCGGCAAGCACCAGGGCCGGCGAGTTTACCCCGCCAATACCGGCGATGTTGCGGTAGGAGGATCCGGCGGGAACCCGAGTTGCCTTCCGCAGGAGAAATGGAATGCCCTCCCTGACGGCGCTGCTTCGGAACAGAAAGGCAAACTCCATCAATAGTTTCTTCTGCTCCAGCCGAGACGTAATCAGCGACGTCAACTCGGCTGAAGACGGCAACGGACGCGAAATTGCCAGAGCTATTTGATGCAAAAGCGCATTCATTGCCTCTAAAGCGAGCATGTCCATATTCGTCAAACACGCCTCCGAGCCAACGTCGGAAGACGCCCCATTACGGTCCCCCTTTCTTGCGACGGCAGGGGCAGCATCGTCGAGCACGTAGAAACAGTTCTCCACCAATACCGAGCAAAGACGATCAAACAAGGGAATAAAACGTCGTGAGAGGTCATACTGCGCGTAGCAAAATGTGGCAAAATCGGCATCTCCGCAGAACTCTACAAGACTCTCCAATAAAAGTTCTCGATGTTCATAGAGGTCCATCAGATGCGTTACACTCCGGTGAAATGGAGGTCCAGTGGGCAGCGTCGGTGCGGCTGCTAGGGAAGGCGAGGAAACCATTTTTCCCGGCGATGATGGGCCGGAGCGGAGTTCTTCTGCCATGCGCATGATGGGGTCAAGATGAAGGGCTCTAATAAAAGAAAAAGTCTGCGGCACCACATGCGTTGAGGCAATTTTCATCACAATATGTACTGTCCGAAGTATCTGGGAGAGAACTATGGTATTCTCCGTACTCACCCCTGTCACGAGAAGCGCACGACACAGTTCGTGCTGTACACCATGAAGTAGCTCCTCCCGCCCCGGGTCACAAAGGCAATCCTTGATCACAAACAGCATGGCCTGCACGAGACATAGCCCCTCTAATTGCACCGCCGCAGTTTTAGACGCGTTCCTCGTCTCAGGCGGTTGCATCTCCGGCCCTGACTCATTTTCATCATCGGACCCTTTTATAAGGGTGCAAATGTAACGCAGCATAACAGCTCCCGTAAGAGACGACGCCGACTCCTCCTCCGCGCCATCGTGTAGTACGGTTTCCTCCTTCGCAGCAAGCGGACGGGAATGCGGCCTGTTATTTAAGATAATCGTATACAGAGATGTAACAATTGACTTCATGGCTTGTTCGGCCGTTCGCCGAAGCAGTGGAGTAAACATCGGATGTAGCGCCAGCGTATACGCACGTCGCACCATTTGTACGTAAAAATTCTCAGGCAATCCTGCCGCGGACGGGTGAGCCGCACAACTCACATACAACTGCAACACCCTGCTGAGCACAACCTCGTATAGAAACACGTCGTGCACGTCCCTTTTTATGCCATTTAGCCTGCGTAGAATCAGCTCAAGCCCGTTCACTGTAACAAAGGAACATCGAAGATCGATGAGGTTTGACAAACACGCCAGGGCGACTCCCACAATTGTGTCACTCATTGTCGCGGAGGTAATGATATCACAGAATGGCGTCAGAATCGCCTTCTCACTGACAGGACGCGCCAAATTTGGCGTCAGAATCGCCCGCTGAAGTGCCTTCAACTGGCGAAGCAAATGATTCTCGGTTAGTTGGCCCGCATTTGCGAAGGGGGTATTTGTGCCGAACCTACCGTTGGAGCGTATGGCGACAAGAAGGTTTTGTGTCTGGTTAGTGAGAACCAGACAATCCCGCCTCCAACACCCGGCACTAAGCGACGGCAACGATGGCGCATCCCCCGTTGTATCCATCAATTTGATACTGCTCTTTGCCGTTGCCGTTGGTGTCGCCCTCCCGCTTTACTATCCTCTCCACGCAGGGACTCTACGAGAATGAAGAGGAAAGTGAAATATATACATATATATATATGCCCATGGCACCACCGTCCCACTCACTGCAGTCGGGCACATTATAAAGAGCGTTCGTTGCCCTCGCGTGTGTAGGAGGGGGTGGGGGCACATGCGCATTGCAGCGCTGAGCAACAGTGAACGAAACAGCAAGAGAGCGAGAGAGAAGAAGAGAAAAAACAAAAAACAAAAAAAAGAAGACAAAACGAGCAAACAAACAGACGAACAGACGTAATCGGTCTCTCTCCCTCCCACGCTCACCTTTCCTTTCGACCCCTTTGCCTATCCCTGGCATGGGACAGCACATATTCGAGCACGCGCTCAATAGGAATCGCCTCTTCGTATGGCAAAAAAAATGGCATTTACCACCGCATCTCCGAATCGCCACTGTACCAACTCCTTCCTGAGCAGCTCGGGAGGCACCTCCTTCCCAAGATTGCTCAAAAATTCACGTGCTCTCCATAGAAGGGCACGCTTGGCAAAGGGATAACAGAATTCGCCCCACCCAATGCCCCCGCGCTTCCGCACGTCGAGGAATTGCTTCCACTCCTTCAAATGTTCGTCCCCGCGGAGAGCAGCACGGTGGGTCCATTGGTAGAATAAAGCAATCTGCTCCTCATTCAGGTCGCCCACAATGCTTGGTTTTAGCACCGCCCACGCATTACGCAGCCCCTCCAGCTCGAAGGCTGTCAGTCCCCGACACATTGCAGCCTCTGCAGAGTTTGCATCCGCCGCCTTCTTGATGATCGCGAGAAATTCATGCGGCTCCACGACAAAGTGATCACACGTGTAGGAACGAAACAGGTTGAACAGTGTCCCTGGCGAGAGCGCCGCAGATGTCATGGCGAACTGCCACAGTTTTTGGAACTGGCAGCACTGCAACTCAAACACACCTTGGGCCACTTGTGCCTCCTCCGGTGTTAACTGGCGGGGGTCCATGCGTGCGGTGGCAAAGTGGGGGAAGAAAAGTGACATGAGTCTCTTGAAGGTGACAGGGCCTTCAGACACAAACATTATTTTCTCTTCCGGCTTAAGTTTTGTGTTAAACGCCCTTTCCAAAAACCCACTGACGCGCTGACCCGCCAACGTTTTACTGTATTTATCGGAGCTCCTGTCAAACATACGATGCACCCTCCTTGCCTCCGCAAAAGTTAGGGGCAACACTGCCGCTTGCGGGTCATTGCGGTACGTCCGTCGTCGTCGCCCCATCCTCGAGAGGTGGAGCGAACGCAGCACAAACACAAAGTCAAGGGGTGCGCATACAATAAGTAGGGCTCCCGTGATAAGGGCAGACGCGACTAGAGGCGTATGCGCAGCGTGAACGGCATCCACGAAGGCTGTCGCACACGGTTCGACATACAAGTTACTCTCACTTCCAACCGGACAGATGGACGAAACAACCTCAAGGCAAGCGACAAAAAACCCACTGCATTTCAGGTGGGACTGGAGACGACTTATCTGGATCGGGTTGTTGCGTGCCGTGTCCATCCATTGGGACGCCACGTAACCAGTTAGGGCGTCCTTCGCGAGCACTGCCGCAAGTCCCAAAAGCGTGCCTAATACTGCGTGAAGCAGCCCAATAAGGAGTAGCACGGCACCGCAAATGATGGTCGACACGTACAGACGAAAGACCACAGACACAAAATTCAAAAGCGAAAGCAGGTACGTCGCTGCCGTAATGACAAAAAAAGGAACAAACAACTGTCGCCAGAAAATGGAATGATTCTCGATAAAAAGAAGAATTGCTGCCAATGTAAACGTAGACATGCATGTTATAATAACAGAAAGTATAAGAATGGCCCCGCGGATCACCCTGTCCGTGCAAGCGGTGAAAAATATTTCATGAGGTCGTCTTAAGTAGCAACGAAAATATAAAACCAACACAGTTAGAAGCAAAACAAGAGCAACAGTGCTGCAGATAAAAACCAAAATCATGTAATTTTCTCTTCGCACGTTCACATCTTCTTCCACAGCCCATTTTATAACTTTTGAGTGGGGAATAGCAGTTTCGTTACAATGGGGCTCTTCACACGATGTGCACACCTCGGACAACCCACACCTTTTCAGGCTAACCGGAGACCACGCTGCATCGGAAGCAAGCCTAAACGACGCCACTCGTCGAGGAAGCCTCGTACGCCACTTTGGTCGAATATGCGGGGAATTATCTGTAATGACGGCACATACCTCCGTCGGTAACCGCCAGCTCCGCAGCACATCTGAGGAGATCACCAGCTGAGAAGCGTTGGCGGTGTCCACGATAGATCCGTCCGCAAGCCTCCATTCCACCTTCATGTTCGTCATCCCTTTAATCTCTCCGATATGGAGCTGAAGGCCTTGTGAATGACTGACAAGCAACGTGGGGGCGGCGCTTGTGCAGCGTGTAGGTGCCACGGAAGCATTCAAGTCCACAGAAAGGAGCGCAAGGTTCACCTGCTCCTTGCAGACAGCGCATAATTCTCCTACCGAGGAATTGCGCAGCATGCAAGCTTGCCTCGTCGGACGGTAGTAATTGTTGAAGAAACAACCTTGAGACGGCGTTTCATCAGCCAGTCCCTGACCAATCCAATGACCCCACGCCGCACGCGCCGCCTCAATGGAGGAGGCGCAGTTGGGCACTTGCACGGCACGCTTCTCCTCCACGCCAGAAGCGTACTCCGAGCTCAGTGAGGCAACGGCTTTGCTTAGCTCGCGAATAGCAAAGAACGGCATAAACAACGGATCATTGGTGAAAATCGCAAGGGATTTTCCACCCACCCCCACCACATGGTTGGGCTGGTTCACCAGCACAACAACAAGGTCCCGGACAGGGGCGTAAGCTGCCAATGTGAAGACGGCGCTCAGGTCACAACTTACGGCGGGTGGATAGGCGAGGACAATAGAGCATCCAAGATTGTTTCGCCCACTCTTCGATTCTCCCTTCACAGCGACGCCCGACACCGCTGAGGACTGAAACACGGCGTATATGTTGAGTGACGACGCGTACCTGTCCCACGGCTCTGCAGTGACACCGCGGATTCTGCCGTGCAAGGCGCTGACACAACGATCGACGTCACTTTGAAAAATAGCCTCCTCCTCCACCGCGTACCCTGCGGAAAGAAACGTGATGGACCGCGTCACCCAATCGCCGGGGACCTGCTGCACCGCTCTGAAGGTTGGTGCCCCATCCGCCGCACTGCATCTTCGCGCAACGCCCAGGACGAGACACACCAGCGACAGGCCGCAGAGCAAAAAAAAGACACGCATGCCAACTCCGACACTGTTAGATATGAACTTCGTTTTTGTTTTTTTTTCTTCTTCTTTTGTGGGTGTATGTGTGTGCAGGTTTGCTCCCCCGCCCCCCACCGTACGGATCTGCCGGCTGTGGAAGAACCGCGACGCACACAAGAGCTGAGACGCGAGCGACGGGGATGACGAGAAGCGAGAGAACAAGAGATAGAAGGCGGGGAGAAAACATGTCACAAGGAAAAGAAAACAAAAAAAGCAGCTAGGCCGGTGCCAAAGCGTTTTACTTCGACCGACACGCAAGAAAAGAAAAGAAAAAAGCCTCGTCTTTTGACAACAAAGAGAAACCAACGACAAAACCAATGAATAGCGGAGAGCAGAAACTCAAGGTAAGGAAAGAGGCACGGAAGTTTGTCCTTCCCAGCTCTCATTGGTATGTATGCGTGGATGCCTCAAGCAGGCGTGGTGGAAAAAACACCAGATATATCAAGCCAAAAAACAAACAAACAAACAAAAAAACGGAAAAACGGAAAAAGCAGACGCAAAAGAAAAGAAAAAAATGCCAAAAAAGGCTTAAAAAAACAACAACAACAACATAATATAACGATGTCTCCAACCTAATCCGCCTCTGGAGTCTGGTGGCGCGAAAACAGAGTGAGTATCTCCCCAACAGCTATGCCTTCTGGATTCCACTGAAGAATGACACTGGCGCCTTCCCGCAGCACCTCAGGGTGGTACAAAAACTGAAACCGCACTATACATCCATTGCCGAACGCTGCTGCATCTTTGGGCAACGGAGAAATAATCCTCACGGCCTGACGCAGGTTGCCTGTGTAAAGAATTGGCTGCAGCCGAGGCGTGATGCCCTGCGAGAGCACTTTTATACGTGCCTCAAACGCCCAAGAAACCTCAACCGAGGTTGGAATTAAGAGCTTTCCCTTTCGCGTCATGTCCACGCTGCTCGGTAGATTGGACAAGGCAAACGTGGCCTCGTCCGGGGGCCGCACGCGCGTGACATGTGACCCGCCCACGTGGATTCCTTGAACTACGACGGGATGAAACCGCCCCTCCGCGTCCGGCCCAATACGACAGTGACGCCCCAATTCTACGGAACCGCTCGCCACGTGCCCACGCACAACGGGCCCGACGCCATGCACAAAGAAACTCCCGTCGAGGAGAACCTCAAACCTTCGATCTGGCGTAATTGGCATCTCACCAGTGGGAAGAGACGCGATAAAGTGTCTAAAAAGCTCAATACCGGATCCCTCCGCGGAGGAAACACGCAACACAGGAACTTGATTCGACTGCTTCCACGACCTCTGGAAGCTGTCCACGCCGTCGATGTCCAGCAGGAGAACAGAATCGCAGCCGATCGCCGACAGCTCCGCCGCCAACTCAAGCAGAAAGGCATCAACCTCGAAGTCGGGTACAAGATCAAGTTTGGTAACAACAACAAAAAAAGCAAACCGCATGGCACGGCAGACACGTGCGTATCGAGCGACTTCCTCCGCCGGTTGTTCTACAGAAATACATATGCCGGTGAAATCAGGTCGACGGCTCATCAAACCGAAAAGCATTCGCTTTGTTACATCTCCGCCGAGGTCTATCATTGCAAGCGAGCGTGTGGAGCTATCACCACGCGCTGATGGACGAAGAGGGTCATTCCCGTTTTTTCCCTCACTACTATCTATTGGAAGGGCCCGAGCTACGATGGAGGTTGTTTTTCCCGTACAAATCTCATGTTTGTGATTGAAAAGAAGTTGCCGCGCACTCCCCACACCGTCATCGAGAAATCCAGTGAGCAATACACCGATAAGCGTGGACTTTCCGCTGCCCGTAGTCCCACAGAAAGCGATTTTGCCGTCCTGCAGTTCCGCCTGTCGCTGCGTCACGAGAATCTCACCACACCAATGTGGAATTGGGTCTGAGTGCACCAAAAATTCTTGTAAAATCGTTGCATCAAGGCCAAGTGTTTGCGCCATTTTTTTCAGCGTCTTCACAGACTCCTGGTAGTCGTGTAGTGGCAGCCCCCTCGGTGAGCCATCATTGGCGACACCGAGTTCATAAAGACACTGTCCGTTGCCCTCCCCCACGCGAAAGCGCAACTGCGTCACAAGGTGCTCAAATCGGCTTGGGGTGATGCCTGTGAGCCGCCACTTGTACTCCACATCGCCGTCATCGTCCTCCTCTGTGAGGCAACCGTAGCCCTCCGAGTCAGCCGAAATAACCCTTGCCAGTCGCCTGTGGAGATCAAACGTTGCCGCGGCGCGCTCCTGGAGGGCACGCTCTACCGAACCCTTGACTGCCTCCGGTGTAAACTGTCCCACACCGCCCGCACTTGCAGGTCCTTCCAATTCGCACGGCGATAGCGACCTCCTTTTTAGCTGGCTACTGTCCATTGCTGCTTTGCACTCTCTCCTAATTTGCCTCCGGCTGTGTTTTTGTGCGTGTCTGCGTGGATGACGGCTACGTGTGTGCGAGTGCCTGTTTTTTTTTTTTGCGGCTCAGAACTCCGATCCACCACAAGGTGCTGGTCGCCTTGTGTATGGGGTATTAAAGGACGAAGAGGGGGAAAAATAGTAAAGACAAAAAAAAAAGCAGAGGAAACAAGAGCTCATACCACACACTTGTCCATAGCCGTAAGTATGCACTGCAGCCAGATACATACATATGCACCATACATGCATGCGTGGCAGTGTGACGTTTCGACGCAATCGTTGCCGTCCCCACGCAGCTTGGCGCAACGCATAAAGTATACAAAAATAGGAAGCAACTGGCCCACAACGTTACTAGAGAAAATGCGAACTTCATGCTTCGTAGCACGCACCTAACTGCTTGGTTAGCTACTTCGACCGGGGCGGCAGCTGCGTCAAAGTGGCACGACACCTATGACAGAGAATGAGGAAGAGTTTGCGGATCACCTCAATTTCGTTTGAGAGCGGCATGCCTTCCAACGCCTCTTGTACGATGGCTGAGCCCGCTTCAGCACCCAAAATATCTCGTGTCATTAAATACACATCTGATAAAATATTTGTGGAGTAAAACTGGAGAGAATCTGTTGCGGCAGATGCTTCCCGGTAATTCCGCAACAGAACCTCCATAAGTGACAGCTGCACCTGTAAGGCCTCCACAATGCACGCCAAACCGGTGCCTTCTTTTTCCTCCTGCAGCAACTGACTTGGGACAGCACTCAACGGGTGTGAGGTCCCATAATGGTTAGAGGCCAAAGCATTCGCCAGAGCAGATTGCTGTGTTGGTTCATCCGTAGGGGCATTACGCAACCGCACTGTCCCAGAAGAGAACTCCTCGGGCGTTTCTAAAAAACACCGCGGCGGCGACTGTCTCAAAGAACAACAACTCATCACTGGCAGTGTCATTTCCTTCCCGTTCTCCTCCCTTCTCTGCTGCTGCTTCGTTTCTCCCATGCAGGGGCTCATGCCGCACGAGGGCGCTTGGGTGCCACGGTCCGATTGTGGGACGGCATAGAGGAAGACTTGCCGCCCCGATGGATTGTCGCTTGTGCCCACCATTTTGTCCGCTCTCAGTGCGCGTTGGGGAGGCCGATGCCGCCCCTCTTCGTCCAACTTGGAGCCCAGCCTCGCAGTGCAGCTCGCCAGCGCCGCGTTTTCCTCTCCTGAGGACGTCGACTCTGCTTCGGACAGCTCTTTTGGCCTTTGCCCAGCCTTTTCCAGTTCACTCAGTTTCTCCAATAACTGATCGCGTTGCTGCTGCGCCGCCCTCAGCTGCAGCTTTAGGTCCGCCACCAGGTAACTGCTCTCAACAGCGTCGGCAGGCAGTTGCACGGAGGCTGAGGTCTGCGTGCCCTGGTGGGAAACCTCCACTTCTGCTTCGCCCCCTTTTCTTGGTGGCCCATAAGCGCCCATGCGAGTGACGAGGGCATTGTGATGGGTATTTCGCAGGTCCGTCTCGTCGGCGGTGGCAGACTCCCGCCGTGAACGGGGTTCAGCCCGGAGGTGCGGCAGTTCCCCTGGCGGCAGCTGCGGACGACCGGTAAGAACAGGCGGCAGAGTTGAAAGAAGTTCCGCCACGGCATCCGGCTTTTCCTGCGGCTTCCAACGCAATATGTGGGATGCTTCGCCCCCGCAAGCCAGCAGCTCCGTGTCACGTAAGGGGCACAAACACCGTGGCGCACTTGACCCCATGTCATCGCCGAGAACGCCACACTCCACAAGTAGTAAAAAACCAGGTGTTTCCTGCCACCCCCAGAAAAACACCTCTCGCGTCGCACTGACAGTGCACAGCCCCACACACCACGGCAAGTATGCCATGGAGCAAATTGCACCGGCATGTACAAAGTATTGCCCAAGCTGCGCCCCATCGCGCGCTGACCACAAAATGATATCCCCATTTTCTAATCCACTTGCCACCACGGAATTGTGTAAAGGGTGTGATAACAATGCCAAGGCCGTCACAGAACACGCCCCCGCCGTGCGAAGGTTAAACAATGGATTGCCATCCAATTCAGTATCTTTCCCATCTACCAAGACAAGGGCACCGCTCGTGCAACCGATCCAAACCGTGTCCTCTGTCAGGAGCAACGAGGACGCGTCCCCAAGCACTGTACCCACGAACGTTGCCTGGGAACCAAATATGCGACGGAAGACACAACGCTCTGCCTGCTCCTCAATATTATGGGCGTTGACTACATGCCCAATGGCAGGCCAAAAGATCACTTCAGGTGAGTCACAGTTGATAACTGCAACGAGCGAAGCTCCGTCGGTATGCAACTCCCGTATACCTGAGACGACATCCAGTCGCAGGTGGTATAGAAGCTGGAGATGAACGTGCCTGCCCTCACCACAACGGGCGCGGCAGCACTGTACAGTAGTCGATGCACCAAACCATGCCAGGGAGCTGTGCTGTACCGTTTCATAAGTTGTCGCGACACAAGAGACATCCATGGGTCGTTTGCGCATCAGCAGAACGCTAGGATCCTGCGGTGACCATGCCGTGACACTTCCATCAGGGTGCACAGCCAAAAGCGCCAGTTCCCTTGTTTCGAGAAGCTCGACTGGCGCAATGGAAACCACCGCGTCTACCCAGGGAGGAGAGAAACCACGCCTAACGGCGTCGATGGCACCCATTAGCGATAACAACGGGGTCGTTCCCTCTGGAACAGGCCTCTGCCCATAAACTGCATGCAGGAAATACAAAGACAAGGAGAAGCAAGAAAGGCAAGCGGAAGGGAAAAATATACATATGCTCCAATACCCGTTACGCATCAAACCCGGTGAAGCAATAACATCAGAGGACGTTTAGTTGGCTTTGCCCCCTCCACGCCCCGCCTTCTCGGGGGCAATTCTGAAATATCTCCAAAGAGATCATTTATAAAAATAACAAACAAAAGGTTAGCTGCTCAGGCTCAAAGTGATCTCTCTCTCTCTCTCCCCCTCTGCCGTTCTGAATCCGTTGTCGCGTGCTTTTTAGATGCGGCTGGGGTACAGGTAGACGCGAACCCGCCTGCCGATCGCCGACGCAGGGACGGAGGAGCCGTTAAACTTCACGCGGACGGACCCGGAGCCACCATGAGGGCGTGTAACGCGGCCCCAGATGGCGCGTGTGTTGCTGCGGCGGGCGGGAGCCTTGCTCCAGCGAACACAGCGCTTCACCTTGTAGCCGTGGTAGACGTAGCACACCCGCTTGCCAACATACCACGCGGCGTCCTCCTTCGTGTTGACGTTTTCAATACGGACGATGGCGGTGTTCTTGTTCTGGCCGTGGAGACCACGCGTGTACCCCGCAAGAACTGCCTTCATGTAGAGTCGGGGAGATTTGCGGTTGCGCTTCACCGTGGAGGTCTTCTTTGTCAGCTGCTGGATCTTCTTGCTGCGGTTCGCTGCGAGAGAGCCGGCGAATTTCTTCGACATGGCCATTTTTTCTTTCTTGACGAGAAGAGTTGGGTGTAGACACGTAAGCCTAGCTGCTGTCAGCGGCAGCCCGAAGGAAATCCCCCGCCCCAACAAGAAAAAAAAAACAAAGGGGATACAAAGAAAGAAATTTCAAATAATGACAAAATAAGAATAATACCACAAAGGAAGAGAGAGCAAGATAGAAAGAGAATAAACTCCAGTTGCATTGCCTCCCGTCAAACACACGGACCGTATGTTTGGGAGCAACGTCGCTTAGAAGCACGAAGAGCCTAATAGCCAAAAAAAAAATAGTAATAACAACGCACTTTGTCATACAGGACGACAATGAAGTCGTGGACAGAGCTATTCAGACGCATAGACAGCATGGCAACACACAACAAAAGGTCAAGGGAGAGCCGCCGCCGTATTCTCGTGTAGAAGCAAAACAGCCCTATGTGCCCTTTTTGTTTTTCTTCTATATATTATTTTCCCCGTGTTTACGTGCCCTTTTCTGTACAATCCAAAGGGAAAATTTTGGGCGTCACTCATCCTCATTTCAATTGGCGCAAATACCACGTCTTGTGTTCCCCCCACACCCCACCCCCTGCACACACCAGAGTGTTCACGCAAGCCCATAGCAAACGTCATTTTCACCTCCACCCCTCCGTGCCCTCCTCCACCTTTTACAACCAGTGAAGGGGAGTCACCGCGAACCTGTGCACATCTTTAGCTCCTGCGGGCCGCGAGAGAAAGAGAAAGCGAAAGAGAAAGAGAAACGAAGCTGAAGCTGACGATGTTGACGTCGGTGATGAAAATGATACCACAAGCTT